AAAATTCTAGTGTCAGATTCGTCACTATACTATAATTTAAGCTGTTGCTATTGCTCTGGAATAATTTAATGATGAGACATAGCAATTTGGGACATACTGCAAGTAGTTTTAAAAATTCAGTTATATGGCAAATGCCTCAAAAGACCCTCAAACACTTATTCCTGGTATGCCCACAAAATATGTTTTGCACATTAACTTAGTAATTAGAAGAATAAAATCTAAAAAATAACATTTAAATTTAGTTTTTAGGGTTCGTAGCATCCACATTCATTTGTGCTTTATTGGATAATGCCTAATTAATTTTCAATTGCTGGACAAGTTTGAAATAGAGAAGTTGCATATGGTTTGTAGAAGATGGTTCATTTGAAACTAAAATATAAATCTAAAGCTAATCAGAAGAATTGCTTCCTAAGAGAACAGAAAAGGTTCAGGTCTTTAACTCTTTTTTAATGCTTGGAAAGCACCACTCCCAGAATGCACTGCAGGTACAATTTTCAGGTGGTTATTTTGTCCTGTTTTGACTGAAGTCTGATAAGCGCTCTCTATTTGAGAAGAATGGATATAACATAAAATTGTTCCCAGCATTTATTTATCCAAGAAACATTTTCTAAGAGTAACTTATAGTTTATCCTATATGATGTAAAAGGGTCACTTTTTCTGGAAAACAAGGAAACCGGATTCACTGACAATCAATACTATTTTGTTGTCTCTTAAAAACATAGAGAGGAAGGAAATCAGAGGTTACTGCACATTGCACCTTATAATCCCTATAAGAAATCACAGAGAAGACTAGGTGGAGATGGAGATACTAAGTTCATTGATGTGAAAAAAAGAGATGGAAACAAAGTCTGTATAACAGGAGGCAAAACACTTGCTCTGAAAAGGAAATATATTCTTAAATATTACAGTAGCACCTTGAAAATCCATTCAGAAATTGGCTCATAGTTTCTCCTGATACTGTCAAGTGGTAAGTCAGGTCACTGAGACAAAGAAATCACAGTCTAAATGATGGAGTCAGACAAGGAACACATTTGGTTCAGCAGCATTTCTGTCAGTTATGAAAATATCTCAAATGGAAAATGCTATCCATAAATAAGCACTTTCTGCTACAATTCTCTGCTGTCCTTGATATGTCTCATAACAATTTTAGGTAGCTATGCAGGGCTGGTACTTTGGAGACCACCCAAAGACCCAAGGGCTGCTGAGTACCATTCCTGCCAGTGTAAAAGTAAAATAACACAGCTTATGACACGTCCCCTTTTTAATGACTCTGTGTATGGATGTATAACTACAAAACCAGGTCTGAACTCACAGTATTTCCTTTTTTTTCCTTTTTGATGCTGCATAATAGCACGATAATAAAGTTAAAATGTGTCCCTTTTTGTGATTGCTTGTTTTACATTGTGATCTAGTTGTCATAAATCCTGCCATCTTACCAAATTAGTGAAAGAATAGAAAAGAACAGGCTCCAACATCTGGCAAGACATTAATTTGGACTTTCTTCTTGATTGTGTCTGTTTCAAATGCCAGGTGTCTTATCACCTGGGATATAGTTTTATTTTGGCAAAGTAAATCTATTACTAACTCTCTGAAGAATGCCGTCTCTGAATGATGCTGCAGCTAATGGAATACTGATTTACTGCCACAACTGTAAAGGATATTTTTTAACATTGTGTAACACTTCCCATCAATTTACATCAACCAGACCTACCATATGTGAGAAGTTATCTACATTTTTCTCCAATAAAACTGAAATGATGAAAGCTTTGTTTTCCCTGAGGTATGATCCAGTATTGGTAGCCCCATTGTTTTCTTTTTTAGCCCTCATCTTTGTCAGGGCTGGAGCATATTATTCCTGCAATGCTTGCCAGAATTCTATGGCTTACTTGTTGTTTGAGACTCACCATATGTGTCTTTGATCCCTGCCTAGTAGGCACTTTGGCTGCTTGCCAGTTTGGCACTTATGATTATCATCAGTATGAATAGCTCCCTTGCTTCTGATTCTGTCCTTCTTGCTGTCATCAAATCACTCTTTAAACAACTTTCTTATTTTCTTTTAGATGCTTATAAACGACCAACCTATTTTTACCATGCCTTTCTTGGCCAAGGTTTTGTGTCACACTGCAGGAAATCCAACAGCTTTATGTTTCCACTCCTAATGATCTGACTGCCAACTACCTGTGTCACTGCATGGCAACAATAAGGAGTACAAAAACATCCCCTGTGATAGTGTTTGGAGTTACTCTGCATACTACACAAATATGCCTGTTTTCCCCATCTGGATGGCTTGATGGCATGACTTCTATGAGAGATTATTTATTTTAGTCAAAAGCATTCCTTTTAATAAACGTTTTAAAACCTTTGACCAGAACACAGCGTGAGCCAATGACAATGATAAATTCAGAGGAGTATCAGAATGATAAACAGTTTTAAGAGACAGATGGGAAGCCAAAAGCCAGTTGTGCACAATTTCTACTCACTATCCTGATACAGCACTAAACACATCTGAGCCCTTCCATGTGTTCTAGTAAACTGAAATTGTTCCAAAATGCCATTGTTGAACAAAAGATACGCAAAATCAAAATAAGGAACAGCACAGGGCACATAAAAGTCCAGACCACGAGAGGCCCACATGCTGTTACAGAAAGGTCTGCCAGAAGTGCCCATTATTCCTTACCTGACCTTGCAAACCCTTTGGTCAGTAAATATACGGGTACTATCACAGGACAAGGATATCTGCCTTCATGTTAACTCATAAAGTGGGGTGGAATAGTTTTGTAGCCTCTGCAAGCAAAGAAGAGTATCAAGATGACTGTGTGTGCCTAAAACACAATCCTCTTGGAGCTTCTTTCACTCTGTGCTGTCCCATGTGACTCATGTTAAGCAATAACAATCCATTTTTGCTCTGGAGGTTTTAACACACAGGCCCTTTTTCAATAGAAAGATTATCACACCCCTCTCCCAAGAAACATGCATATTTCAGATGAACGTTTTATTTATATGTCTATTGTTTTTGAAAAAATTCCTTGCATTTAGAAGGACCAGTTGACAAATTCAGTGCAAAATTGGCAAGGGTGAAAAACAAATTCTGATTGCAGGGAGAATAAGAGGTAGAACAGAAAAGAAACAATGAGAAATTGTTGCATTAGAACTCAATTTGGGATTACTTTAGAATGCATCTGTTATATTTTCCTTCTCTGCCTAACAACACGGGAATTCAGATGAATATGTTCTTTTTAGAATATGTGATGGCACTCTGAGTCTTGAAGCAGGTTTGTGATAGTAAACATCCACACTGGATGTAGGCTGGAAGAGGCTACTGAGGTTTTAAGACCTACAAAAACAATCTAGTAACAGACATAAAAACAATACCATTAGAAGGGATTTAATGTGGAGAAAATAGCAGTTTGATATATAAGCTACCTGCAGAGAATTACAATGCAGCTTATTTCAAAGGTATTTGTAAGAAAGATGATTAAAGGCCATGTGAAATTTGACTTTGGAACTGGAGTAACTTGAGATCAGGTGAGGCAGGTAGGAGAGGTACACTTTATTCACAGACATACTCCTAACTTTCTTGTGATTGCAGTCATCCTTTTTCCAGCTGGCTATGAAATGTACAGAAAATTGAAAATGAAATTATTAATCTTAATAAAGTGACTTTCCCTTCACAAATACCTACCACATCATTGATAAACTTTCTCTTACTGCGAGACAAAAAAGGAAGGCATGATATTTTTGCCAGCTTCTCTGTATTTCATCCCTAACTATACAGGTACCAAGACCTAGAGCCAACATTTAAGAAAACCTTAGTGGAATTTTGAACTGTGAAAATAAAAGAATGTTGAATTCACAAATATTTTACTGGGAAAAGGCAGAAGAGATACTAACTGCATCAGATAGTAGTCAGTAAAAAAACTTCCTGGGCACTTTTCAGTGGCCAGATTTGAAATTGCAGAGATGACCACCAGTAATATTTTTAAATTTTTACACTGGATTTTAAATATCTTATTTCTGAAAAGCCATTATTATCCTTAAAAAAAACAAAAGCTTCCCAGCCAATCAATCAGCATCCAGTTTTGGTTTACAATGGGTATGGAAATACAATTTTTAGATGCACAGAACAATAAGGATGAAATGCAAAACTGCACAAGAAAAATGGGGCTTTGAGAGCATCATATCTATCAGTGAACAACAGAAACAGAGACTTGGTGGTAAACCTGATAATCTGTTGCAACAAATGATTGATGGAAAGGTTAATAAATTTAACAAAATATCCCTGATACCCCAGAAATCGAATGATCCAGAAACAAATTTTGCTTGAGAGGAGTTTGGAAAGTTGGTTGACACAATGAAGGTAAGGGAGCAGACAAAATATAACTTGCTGCTGTCGAAACCTAAACAGTATTACATTTGTAAAGCTCTAAGATTTTGCTATCTAAATGGAAAGCAGAAATGCCAGTGTTTGCCCGAAGCCTCGTGTCACCTGGTTGCCCGAGGGAGCACGATCTGGTTTATCTGGTATGGTTTGCAGAGCCCAGGGATGTCGAACATGACACGTAGGTTTCGTCTGGAAGCAGACCTGTCCCTTCCCCTTGCTCCTCTCTTTCCCCCCTGCTGCCTAAAGCCTTGCCAGGTCAGGCTGGGCCCGGTGTCCCGCGGGCGTGCGGGGGCAGGGGCCGTGTGGGGCAGTTCGGCTGCCGTCGCCACGCTCGGCCCTCCGGCTCTCCTCAGCGGTTTCTCCCGCACGCACGCCCCGCGACTGCAGGCTGCTGCGGCGCCGGCCGAATCCGCAGCGAGCCCGGCCACCCACTGCCGCGGCTCCTCGTCAGGGAAGGCCAGGGGGGCAGGAGGCGAGAAGGGGTAGAAGGCGAGGAGGAGCAGGAGGCGAGGGGGCAGGGAGCGAGAGAGGCACGGGGCGAGCCCCGCGGCGTGAGGCGGCGGCCGCCGCAGCCGCGCGGGAGGGGACGCGGCGGCGCTCGCGCTCCGCCAATCGCGGGGCCGCTCGCGCGCGGGACGGGAGGCTGAGCCCACCCTGCGGCGGCGGCTGCCGGGCGAGCCATGGGCACGGTGCCGTCCGCGCTGAAGCACTGCCTCAGCTACCAGCACCTCCTCAAGGAGCAGCTGTGGATCGCGGAGCCGCCCGCGGCCGCGCACCCCGCGCAGGTACCGCCCGGCGCGGGTCAAGGGATGGGACGGGGCCGGCCCTACGGGGCGCGGCCGCCACCAGGGGGAGGACGGGGCGTCGCCGCCCCCTCGCCGCCCCCTCGCCCCTCAGGCACGTCCCCCGCGCCGCTGCTGCCCCTGCCTGCCGGCAGCGCCCGGCTCTCCCCTCTTTCCCATCTCCCCTCTCTCGTCCTGCCCGGAGCAGCGGGGCACGCCCTTACCTACGGCCCCGCACCGCTGGGGTGTGTCTGGTCAGTGTTCCAGCACACGGCCGGTGTTACACCGTGTTCCAGGCAGTGCGAACACAGGTGGGTGGTGCTGGGGCAGCGGTGAGGCAGTGGCAAGCCCACTCAGCAGTGGTTCTCGCCACGCGTGATCACTCCCCGTGTGAAAATGTTAAAATAGCAGGGTAAGACGCATTTGGGCGGCACTGCCCTTGCTCCCCGCAGCTGGCACTGCCGCCACGCGGGCGCGTTTGCTGTCCAGGGAAGGGTCTCTGCAGCCTAGGCTGCGAGGCAGAGGGAGCCGGGGGCTGTCACGGACGGGTGAGTGGAGCTGGCTGCTCACCCTCCGGTCTGTGAGCTGTGAGCAGGCGTGGACAGTGGCTGCAGGGAGTGTAGGTTGGTTGAGGCGCCTGGGCAGGTGCCATATCAACAGTGCAGGCCGTGACTGTCCTAAACGTGGCTTTGTAGGGGAAGAAGCGAAGCGAAGTTACCAGGATATCCTCTCTGAACAGTCATTCAGTCCAACTGTAGCTCCAGTAATCAGTCAATGCTTCAAACCTTTAAAAACATAAGCCAAGCCTAGAACAAAATAGTTTAAATGGTACTTAAATACATTTTTAATTTTTTTTTTTTTAAGAGCAGCTCTTGTTTGTTGTATCCTTCTATTTTCAGATGGATGTTTGTTGCATCTTCTGTTATCATCTTCCATTTTTCTGCACTCTTTGGAGATGAAATTTAATTCCTATATAGCAATGTGACTTCAGAGGTGGAGAGATGGTGAAAAATGTTCTGAGTAGTATGAAAACTGGTATCAGTTCTCTGCTCTGAGCCTCATATCTCAAAAGATGCATGTATGGAATACCCAAAGCAACATTGTTGTGAGCATAGGGCTTTGTAGGTAAGCCCCATACAACTTCCAGCTATCATATTTCCCTGGGAATAGTGTCTATCCAGCATTAAATTTTGGGGGGAAAAAAAACTTTTTTTTTTAAGTGGATTTTTTTAATGGTAAAGAAATAGAATTAATGAACTTTGATATACTAGGCCTGAAGCAAAGCACTATAATTCTGTTCATATGCCCTTGCTACATTTTGGTGCATCATGTCCTTTTAATAGATCTGAACGTTTTTCAAAAGTTTCCTTCAAAATACCTTGATATGCCATTTGATTATGTCATTCTCTCTCCCCATATCAGATGAAGCATTTGAAGAGTCTTGCAACAGCGGTGGGTTTGCAGAGTGGGTTTGCAGTCAAACACAATCATTAACATCTCAGAAAAGAGTAGATGAAAAGAAAAGTTTTCTTTATTGTGATGGATTATTGTACTTAATTTTTGCAATGCTCTTCTTTTATTTTCATCACCATTTTTCTTCATCCAAGGATACAGAGGATGTCCGCAAAGGTTTTCCTTATGTAGGAGTGCATTCCGTACCTATCGCATTCAAGAAAAAAAGTGTTTCTTGTTATGTGATCTATAACTACACTGGCTCAAGTAATGATTGTAAAAGGTTTGTTGGTCTTTTTGTTTTGGTTTTTTTTTTTTTTTTTATGACCAGCATATGCAAGATATGGCAGCACCACTGCAATGATATTTATGAGAGTACACTAAGAAATAAAATAGGAAAGAGGGTTTAGGTACAAGAAGTTTCCCAGAAATAGTGCTTTCATGGCTGATAAAAATAAAGAGTTTATTTACTTGCTGAAATATTTTCAGGAGTTCCTGAGGATTTTTCTTTAACCACCAAGTAAAATGTAAATGTTGCTGCCAGGGCTCTTATAAAAATAAAATCATTCTATTTTGTCTAAAGACCCCAAATATATAATAAATTGGTTATATACTGTGCTGACTAATTTGTAGTCCTGTCCAGGTTTAACCACTTGAAGCTCTACTGGAGGTGAAATAATGGGTTCTAAAGTGAGTAGTGGGATATCTTAGTCTTTGTTTTCCTTTCTTTTTTCTGTTTCATTTAGCCGGCTATTTTTGTGGTATTTTTAGAACAATATTTGACTTTAAAAGATAGACTTGCTTGAGTAGTAAAGTTATTAAAAATGAGAGATGAAAAGTAATAGGTAATTTGGCTAGGTGGCTAAATAAACAGTAAATAGAGTTTTCTACTATGTATTTGTAGAAGTTACTAATACCTATTTCAGTCTTATTTAGACTAGTCTGTATTGCATCAAAAAATTACTGAACACCTGACTGGTCAATGAGACACCACATTCCTGTTGCAGTGTGTTCATCTTTCTCCATATTCTTAATTTCTTAACTGTTTGCTTCAGAACGCTTCCATAATGCTTCATACAAGGAATACAGTTCTGCTTCATTTCCTTAGCATTACCCCACTATATGTATATGGTTTTTATTACCAGGTCTGATTAACTTAATGTTAAAGGTCTGATTTATTTTTACTAAATAAGAGCTATAGTCACACAAGATTTTGTTGAAGACGTGGTTTTGTTTTTTTTAACTGTAAAATGTGCTGGCATCTATGGAGAAAAGAGGTGGCTGTAGATACTGCATTGTTGGTGGTATTTCTGCAGAGATCAAGGTCATTACTAGTGGTCACTCACAGGTGTCACCAGAGTGTGTTTGACCAGAGTGTGTAATTACTTTGTGGTCTGCTTTGTGAAATGCTCAGGCTGAGCAGCAGGGAAGGTGTTAATCTGCTGCTGGTGTCCTGGTTTAGCAGGAACCTTCTTGCTGGAAAAAAGATGGTCTGAGAGTAATTGACATTGGTCTTATACTGCAGACTTAATGTTATATTTTCATGTAGGCTAGAACAGAATTTTGATGCATTAGGAATATGCTAAGAACACAGCAGGGAAGAGCTGGATGGCTGAAGTGTAAAAGACTGGGATGAAATTCAAGGATACAGAATGATTAGATGCTTTGAGACCTATAATCCAAACTAGAAAGTTTGACTTTATTGTTAGAAGAGATTGAAGAAGAACCTTGGAATCCTCACAAATCATAGGATGACAATGAGCTGCCAATATAGCTCAAAAAAAAAATCAAGTTATGTCCTCAGACAGAGTAGATCAAGTATTTTCAGTCAAACAGGGAGATGTTGATGGCATTGCAAAGAAACTGTATCTGTTCTATTTTGGTTAGTCATGTTCAAGAAATTGAATATCCAGCTGGGATAAGTTAGGTCTTGCACCACTGGAATTGGAGCATGATTTGGGAACATTGGTTGGGAAAAGGGAGGTGAAATGTAAAATGACTTGGGTATGTTTGATATCTAGTGTTAAGACCTGGAGGATGTGTGGGCAGGTAGGAAGAAGAGGAATTAGCTGTTTAAAATAAAGGAAGATGTTGCTACCCACAAACACACACTTATATGCAGGCCATATAATAAATATAAAGTAGAAATTTAAAAACAAATTACCCATTGGTAGGATTCTTTAGGAGCTTTTTAATCACAGTAATGAGGATATGATTTAGGTTTACTGAAAGGATTATATGATGTGGTTTCAATAGTAGTGAAAATTATTTGGTCCTTAAGAACTTTTAATGATTATCTAATAAGGAATAGAGGATAGATATGTAAATGTTTTAAAAGAGACAATTCCATGTCCAGTTTTTTTAATTGCTTGGCTTACAGTACTTTGTTAAGGTCAGAGTGTCAACTTCAGCATGAGTATTCATCTGCTTTAAACTGGGGAATTCTGCTCTGCAGTAGGGTAGTGGCTAAACACAACTAAATTATATGCATCTTTTTCTTAAACCATTGCATTTATGTACTACTAGCTAGGGGTACTAAGGGGTATAGTAAAATAAGAATATATAAGGAGTCATGGTTTGGTGAGGGCTACCTACACTTACAACAAATAAAGCAAAAATAAGACAAAAATAAGACTCTAGTGTCTTATTTTGCTGGATGTAGCTGTGACTCTGGGAAGTGTAATCTGTCTAAATAATGCTAACGTGTGCTATGTTATGTTGTAGGATTTCTGTCACAGACTTAGGCTGTCGTATGGAATGCAATATCCAGAATCATTAACAGTTGTTCAGGATATTACCATTGGAAAGTTTTATAACTGGGGGGAACAGAAATGCCAGGTGCTAAATATATAAAATAATGAGCAAAAACTTGGGTCCTCTAATTTAGACAGCTAACTTCTGTTTCAGAGCCTTGATTCCAATGATTTATGTGCTACATGCCTAAATATTCAGACTGAAAATGCACATACTAAGATTCCCTCATCTCCTCACTGCATGACACTCTTGGATCAAGAGATGCGCACAAGTGTCTTACTTTTTCGGTTTTAATGTGCTAATTTAGATTTTGTAACAGATTGTCATGTTTTAAACATATGCTAGAAACCTCTCAAATTTATTTTTAAAGTAACTCAAGAATAACAACAAAACCCACAGTCCATGTGACAATTATATATGTCTTACTCACTTATGTTTGATTCTTGATTCAAATTACAGCATCAAAAATGAGGCATATGGTATTATGCAGTCTGGGAGGAGAGAGCAGATCTCTTTTATTTGAGTCTTTTAGGTACACCTCAGAGCAACTGATTTGAGACATACTGTATTTCACGTTCTTTTTATCACCATGTAATTATATATTCCAGGAATAAATTAACATTTGCAGGCTCTCATCAAATAACTATTTAGGCTATTTTCAGTTTTTAATTTAATTTATCAAGCTAAGAAGTACTATAAAAATTGCTGACAACAATATTGCAAGTTAATTAATTTACTGTGACAATTACCGTACATCAAGGGTAAAACAAAAGGGTATTTTTTATACCCTTTTTTCA